GGGGCTTCGCTCCGCCAGCCGCGGCAGCCTCTGGGATGAAAGGGGCGGCGGGGGCTTCCCGGGTGACCCCACCCTCGCCGCAGCTCCCCCCGGGAAGCGATTTTGGCCGTTTTCTCACCGGGGTCCCACGTGCGAGTGCACGGGGGGGGTCCGTCCCCGGGGAGCCACGCGGGCTGATTGGAGGCTGCTGGGGTTTGCCCAGTGCCTGCTCCAGTTTTGATTCAAACCAGCCTTATTTTGGTTCCATTTCAGTCAATTAGGAACAGATTTAAGCTTAATGCCAATAAACCTCTGAAACCCCACCGGGGTCTGCGTCAGCGGAGCGGCAGCGCTGCGCGGGGACGGGGATGCAGCGGGCAGCCAAATGGGGCCCGTGGCCCTTGTCACCCCATCCCGGGGCTCCCAGGGGACCGAGCCGAGCTGGAAGTGGCGGCACTGGGGGCCACACGAACCCTTGAGATGACACCACTCAGGCCAGCTCCGTGGGGACAGGTTTATTTGGGGTGACCATAGAAAAAGCAGCTGTGGAGCACGGGAGCTGCAGTGGGGCTGGGGGCACAGCCAGGCTCCAAGATGTGGTTTTGGGGTGGCTGTTGCCCCACGGGACCCCAGCTGGCAGCAGGGACAGAGCCCACCACGATGAGGGCCGAAGTTTGGCAGCCCCTTGGCACTGCAGGGTGTGGATTGCCTTTGGCACAGCTCCGGCACAACAGGGAGGGGAACCAGCCCCACACCAGACCCCTCTCAGGATTTAGGGGGACCCCCACCTTGTCCCAGAGGGGGTTTCCCCACCCCTTCCAGCCTGTGCTGCACAAAAGGGGCTCAGAGGACAATGCCCACCTTGCCAAGGTGCACCGGGAGCGGGTGGGGGATGAGCGGGGCCCCCGTTCCACCAGCCCGGCCCCTCCAGCCGTTCCCACGGGGACACCCATCACTCAACTTCTTCCGAATCGTACTTAAGGTCCTGGAGAATTTCGCTGATTGCCTCAATGGTTTTAATTAGCCTACGAGAGCGGATGGAAACTATAAATAAAGCCCATATGGAGCGTATTATGTGGGCCGCCTCGCCTTCCCCGCGCTGTTTATGAAACACTCAGCCCGGGGAGGCCGAGGGGACGCGGCCACGCAGCGCCGCCAGACCCCGAAGGCACCATCTGGGCCCCCCTGGGCCGAAGGGAGGGCGGGGGAACACAGGGAAGGGGCTCCGGGCCTGGACTCCATGATCCATGTGCGTCCCTTTCAACTCGGGACACTCCAGGATTCCGCGGGCTGGGGAGGGGGTGCCACCCCAAAATGGGGGGAGAAAGGGGGTCCTGGGCTAGGGGAATGTTGACTTCTCAAAATGAGGGGGGACAGCAGCGGGGCCACCACCTACTTGTGCTTGAGCTCCTGCACCTCCTGCTGATGGGCGTCCACCTCGGGCTGGTCCTGTGCCTGCTGCCGGGCCAGCTGCAGCTGCGCCGTCTGCAGGGGGACACCGTGGGAGCTGAGACCCCCCAAACCAGCCCCAGCAGCGCCCCAGGAACCGCCCCCCAAGCCAGAACCCACCAGCTGCAGCTTCTCCTGCTCCCGCTCCTGGAGCCGGGCCAGGTGCTGGGCCAGGTCGGGGCGGCCGAGCTCGTCCCGCAGGCGCCCGGTGATGTCCAGCACCTCCCGGGAGATGCCACTGAAGGCCACGGTGACCTCGTGCACCAGCTGCCGGTACCGTGGGAAGTCATAGTGGGGGGCACTGCTCAGGTAGGCGCGGTGGCCCCTGCGGACAGGTCAGGGAGGAGAAGCCACTGTCACCACACCTGGGGTGCTGAGCCCCCTTTGCCACCCACCACCAGGAGGGTTTTCCTGCCTGGATTTGGCAGCAAGACCAGGCAGCCTCACCTCTCACACGGGACAGGGCTGGAAACTGATT